CACCTCGTCTCTCTAATCTCTCGCACCTAACAATCTTACAAATCATTCATAGCAGCAACTCTACAAATCAAATTCATCTCTCTCTCTCTCTCTCTCTCACATTAAACATTTGAATTACCTAATTGATTCTAAACCTGGTGTTGTTTTACACCTAAAAGCCTAATATGGGTAATGTACCTAATCATTCAGAGGTATAATGGCATGTTTCTTTCCTAAAAGCCCTCTGCTTTGGTTGTTTTATCACCTCACCCCCATTGAAGCCGCTGAACTTTAGTGGAAATATGGGTCCGATTGGTGACCCAACGGTTGAAGTGACTCATCGACGTGGTGACTTCACTGGGTTGCTGTCCGAGCCGGGTTCAATAATTATGGCCGCGCCCCGCCTCTCGCTTGGCGTCACCCTCTATCTCCACTCCCTCCTCCGCCGCATAACCATGAAGACGACGGCGGTCGTATATCCCCTCTGTCTATGTAAGGCTCTTCCTATCTCTTTGCGTGTTGCTGTTGTTCTGGGATTTTGTTATTATTTTCGAGACAAAGACATTTGATTTAATCTCAAGACATTGTTGAGTTTTGAAGAAGTTTTTATGAGAAATCGGTGCATCAGAATTGGACATGAACTGGTCCAGGTTGCAAGAACAATTATAGCTTAGGATCATGGTTTACTTGTCGTGTTCTATGCTCTGCACTTACGAAACTAATTCAGGCCCCAGCTTCTTTTTCATTCCAGTGAACCACACGTTTGTTGAATCTCTAAACCAACAGACATAGACCCACCCACTGTTGTGTACATGTATTTTCTTTTGTTTATGTACTTAATTATCTGAGACTCGATGGTGTTTGACTGTTTGAGGAAGAGGATACAGGCACCATTCGTTTCTCTCTAGAACACTCCCCTATTTAGTTGGCATTTGAAACCGTGTACCTACCACAAGTATTTGTTTTTACCGGTGACATATGAAATCTAGAAACCCATTAAACAAGGCCTTTTGTTCTATACTTAATTGTGTCATTTACAGACAACATGCTATTTTATGCTGACAAAGTTGATGATCAGTCAATGGTAAGTTCTACTTGTAGATTTGGAGAAAAGAGTTACCCCATCTATAACGCCATACAAACCTGGTTTAGTTATGTTGATCCAGATTTTGGTTGTATCATGGGTCAACTCTCTGCTCTCACCTCTTTTATATATCACTGCGTAGCTCTTTGATCTGGAAATATAATAGTGTCATTCTTACAATTAAGAGCCTTCCTTGCACACATCAAATTTATTCAAACGGGTTTGCCTTGCTTCTTCATTTTGTGGTTTAGATTTGGATCATTATGTTCCGATTGCCAGTGTTGGTCGTTGGAATCGTGGTAAATGAATGATGCCTTTGTATACTAAAAATTCCATACTTATCGCCAGTTCTTTTTATCTATATTAGTGGATTTAATAGTTCCCTTCATAATTGATGATTGTGTATATGATTTCTACTGTTATGGTTGAAACAATAATGTGCATTCACAGGTTGAGTGGTTCCTATCCAATGAGTTCTTTCTCTTTCCTTGTGACTGCTGCAAGTTTGCAGGGGATCCTTTCCTTTGTTCGGTTTGTGAGATAGAAACAAAAAAAGAGAAGAAAGTGGATTTTGTCCCTTCAAAGTTTTCAGTGACTAACATCTTTCAGTCAGACTCATGAGAATTCAATGTAGTGTTCTATAACCGCATCTTCATGTATTGTACCAATGTTTTCATTCTGTTACATTTCCTTTCAACAGGAATGAGCCATTCACAAGATACTTCCGCTCTTAAGCGGAAAAGGCCAGAATCGAATCCCCTTACTCAGTCTCTTGTCGATGCTGACCGTGCAGTTCTCACAGTGATCAAAAGTAAAGAAGATATGGGAATCTGGACAAGAGACATCAAACGAGACACAAACCTACCAGAAAATCTTGTTAATAAATCCCTCAAGTCACTTCTAGCAAAGAAACTGATAAAGGAGGTTGTAAACATCCAAAGCAAGGGGAGAAAACACTACATGGCAGCTGAGTTTGAACCATCAAAGGAAGTCACGGGTGGCTCCTGGTATGTGGAAGGGAATCTTGATAAAGAATTCATTTCTGTTCTCAAAGATTTTTGCTTTAGGTTCATACGTAGTCGGAAGGTTGCTACAACGGAGCAAGTTCACGATTTTTTCAAGAAAAGTGGAGCCATTAAGGTTGAGTGCACAGTTCAGCAAATTTCCGAGATATTGAGGTGTATGGTTTTGGACAATGAAATTCTAGAGGTGAAGAGTACTGGATTGGGAGAATATCATTCTATTCCTATTGGCACGTCTTGTTATAGATGTGCAACTGGGGCAGGGATTGGACAGGGTCCAAAAATTGGGCAATGGCTTCAATTCCATGTGGTGTTTGTCCCAGGATTAGTCAATGCACACCCAATGGAATTATTTCACCAAGTACTTGTGCCTACTTCACAAAATGGTTGGATTTTGATTACTAATGGATTTTATTTGAGCTATTTTTCAAATTGGCTTTTCATATTTTGAGTACTGCTTTTGGAAGATCTTTGTTTTGCATTATGGTTTACTATTTTATGCATACTTCAACAACTCTATGCAGTATTATTAAGCGAATACGTAATGGAAGTGGTTTTTTAGGTTAACTTGTTTAGTTGTTATGGTATTGTGTTTCTTATATCTTGTAGGTGCTTTCTTATACTGGGATTCACTTGCAGTTGCTATTCATTGTTTAGAAGACACAGAGTATGAGATGAATACAGGTCTATTACACACACCCTCCCTCCCCACACACCCCTAATGACTTGACTAGATAGATGTTTTTTAAGGATAAGACAGACCTCTATGTACTATGATTTAGTACTCTGGTTCAAACCTCCAGAAGTGCATAATCCACAATACCGAGTAAATATTCAATACGATGGTGATATCACATCATTATCCTAGCAAGTAGCTCTATTTTGATTTGTTGCCACCATTACTCTGTATACTGGAAAATGGAGTACTTGAACTTCCATGGAAATCTAGTTAACTTGTTGTTTGTACATATAACTTCAGCTGTAAGGCTCAGCCAATCACCATTTTATGTTACTGAATGAGAAAGCAACAAAGTGCAAAGTAAATATTCCATACAACAGTGAATCGCAAGTAAATATTCAGCACAACAGTTATATCACGCCATCATCCTCGCAAGTAGCTCTATTTCAATTTGTTGCCAATGTAAACGGGATATTGGAGCATTTGAACGCCCAAGAAACAATAATTATTTAGAAAATCAACTTTAATTAAGCACTTTGATATCCAAATAAAAGCATTGTGTTTCTATTGCAGTCCCAGCAGAGAAAGTTGACTCAAACAAAGCTATTAAGCAGCAGCAGAGTGAAGGACTCTCTCTGATGCTTCTTTTTTCTTGGCCTTCTCTTTCTCAAGTAAGTATATTCTCTCTGCTTCGGACACTGCCAGCATTATCGTGTGCAGCTTGAAATTCAATTCTTAACCTTTTCCATGAGCCTGTCATTGGTAAACATGCCAAGAAGAACAGTTTGGATTGTCTTCCAGCTTTCTATCAATGGTAACGCGATAATCACGGCTGATCCAATGGTGCCCCATGCTATAGCTATGATGGCCCAGAATGTGAAGTACCCTTTACTGAATTGTCCTGCATTAACCCAAAAAATATATAACTTCCTGCATTAACTCAAAAACTAAAGTGGTTTGATATAACTGTGGGGGGGGGAAGAGTTAACCTGCAGGAAGTGTAAGCAGAGGCCACAATATAACAATCACAACAGTAAAACCAACACCCCATTTCATTATCCAAGCTTTTGCTCTCTCCAGCTTTTCCTCCCTGAACTCTTCAGCTGGCAATTCACTGTTTTCCTTCTCAACCACAGTTATCTGCTTAGTGGTAACCCAGTCATAGTCTTGAGGCCACAACAAACTACAAATAACATGAATGGCACCACCAGTAAGTATCGAAACAAGGTTTCCAGCAAGCATCGGTGCATTTCGGCCAGTTGTGTCAAGATTTACCCTGCCATACTCAACACTTGCAACTGACAACCAAGTGATAATCCCAAGAATGCAACCGATAATTGTCCCAAGAATGGCGCCTATTGCGTTTGCGTTTCGCCATAGAAGCATAAAAGCTATGGGAAGAACTGCTGAGCCAATGAATACACCCATGGCAAGATACATCCAACCAAGAGAAACTCCAGCCTTGTTCAGTATTACTGCCAAAATTCCCATGAAACATCCAAAGGCGAGCACAACAGCCCTTGACACTTTCAGTATTTGCTTTCCAGTTGCATCTGGATTTATATACGTACGATAGATGTCATATGTGCATAATGAAGAGACTGCAATTAGCTCAGATGAACCAGCAGATGTCACAGCCCTGATCATCATATGGAAAATTTTGAATCTCAAAACAAATGACAGAGTTAAAGTCACTTTCCTTGATGGAGTTGCATCAATACAAGCTACATGTGAAGCATTAAAAAAAAGAAACTTTAGCAATGGGATGAGATGTCATTGATTGTACCTCACATAAAAAGCATGGTGAGAAGAAGAACAGATCCTCCTTTCCCCATCAAAGCAATAGCTGTAGCCGCAGGAACAAGTCCATGGCTTGCCTCACTTGCAGTTATAGGTAAATCTAGGCTAGTGCTCCTAGACCAAGTGAAGTTGCCAAAGAAAATGGAACAGCAAACCATACCAGCCCACCTAACAAGTAGCCCTTATGAGTCGATGATGGTCTTGCAGCAATGGCACTTACCCAATATCCCTACAGCTTCGATGTTAACAAATTTAGAATGCTAGTGCATCAATTATGAGAATGGAAAAGATTAGGCTGCTGCTGGTTACATGGTCAATTTTGATACTTACATTGTCAACAAAAACTGTACCAAATTTCCGACTATGTTGATGATCCAAAAACTAGTCCACCAGAACTCAGCATTGTTAGGTAAGACCCTTTTTTGGTTCCCACTAACTGGACCACAAGATTGCCCAACATTGGAGAGTGGCTCCTGACAGCTTCTTGATTTGCTTGCAACCTCCAATAGGCGATGGTATAAGATGCTTGGGCTGCCAAGCTCACTGCTTGCTGTGTACACTAGGTACACAAAGATGACCAGAACCACATGAACTGAAATCGAATCCAACAAATAAGGCTCAGAAAAGCATCAGCATAACTAGAACGGTTCGCATCCTCGTAGGGCAAAAATACAATATAGTGTATTATACCTATTACAGAGTGTATATAACTTGCCAAGAAGGTGGCCTTTAACCCTCCCGCTAGTGTATAGACAATAAAACCGAGAGGAATAAGAAAACTTGCAGCATAAATGTTCACTCCAGTGAGTGCATTCACAACCAGCAGAACCACCAAGAAGAAGCATGGCAGTTACAATAATATTTGTCAAGAAGCAGAAAGCAAGAAAGACAAGATGAGCAGCAGTCCCCCATCTGAACAGGTACAATGCAGAATTTTAGAATGATGAATTGGTGGGAAGCCACTTTTGCTGGCTGTATTTTTGCAAGTATGAAATGCACCATACCTAGCTTTAACAATCTCACAAACAGTGTGAGCATGAGGAGCTTTTCTTTTGATCTCTATAGCCATGACACCAAACAAGAGTACCTGTTCATCAGCATTTCTGAAACTAGTCAACAACATATATCTCACTGCCATCTTGAGGAGACTGAGAGCTAAAGAATGAAAACAAAACAGGAAAGATGAGCATAAACATGCCTGGATAGTAGCCCCACTTGCATACCAGAAAGGACCACTAATTCCATACTCCCAGGCAACATTGGAACTTTGTAGGATTGTTGCAGCCCAAGTCCACTTCAGAAATCAGATATGTCAAAGGATATGTTAGCTTAATAACATGGTCCTCTGAATTTGCAGAAAAGTGGGTATCTCAGCATTGTTACCTGAGATACAATCACACTAGCAATAAGTCCTGTTTTAACATTTCTGCCTGCAGTGTTGAACCATTCCGACGTGTGACGGGACCCAACATATCGCTTCTCAAGCCATATCTGATCGAGCAGGATGATTGAGCAGACAAGTTCATAGTCAAAGAATAGTAATGGAAATGGAAATGCTCACAATATTGCTAATTTGAAGTTAGGATCATAGTGCATTGAATTCCCCCCCCCCCCCCCCCCCCCCCCCCCCCAAAAAAAAAAAAAAGCACACCCAAATAATGAATTAATAAGGAACGAAACATGTGGTTATTAGGCAATCCTCACTGCTAACTTTCAACATAATAGAAAGTAATTTGATTTTCTCCCCTCTTTTACCCTTTTCAATCTCCAATCGTTTCTCTTTCTTCCCACCATAATCAAACAGGACATATCCCTTGTAATATACTAGAGGTGACTCAGTTTAGCCAGACTATGAAAGAAAAAATGAGAGATAGGAAAAGGGTGGTACCAGGAAGGAGGTAAAGACTGCAAAGAAAGCTCCAAATCCAAGAATAACAGAGTACCCAACACCTTGATTAAGCACTGCTTTGCCTTCAAAGAAACTGCTCTGCCTCACACAACTGCCTCCGTCGCCGGAGATATGGTAATACTTCCCGGAGAAATCAAATGGTGGACAGTTTGGGGGAGAAGTGGCCATAGACTCAGATGGGTAAGGTGTTACTTTTTCTCAACGTTTATTTCATGGAATATATAAGCTGGAAAAATAGCTAGGAGTTAAGAGAGGTTGCTCTTAAACCCCCCTTCCCCCCAAAAAACAAAAAAGGAAAAAAAACATGTTTCTCAGATTATGCCTCTATGGATTTCACGTTATTCTAATTACAAACATTTTTTTTAATACAAATGAAAATTCGTACCATTTTGCTCTTAAATTATGTATTTTTGTTTTTTTTGCTTTGAAAAAAATCTAATGGCTTATGAATGTTTTTGAACAATACATAGCACACATGTAATTTTGAGACTTTTTGAAATTAATTTAAATATCTAAGAAAAATTGAAAAGAATAAGCGATAACAAGACGGGGTTATAAATCTCATAACATCACACAAGACAGATACTAATACTTAATAGACTTAATCAATGGTAATTCTTAAATAGAAAACGAGTCTCATATAACATTAAAACTCATAATTAATCTATAAGTTGTATTAAATTAGATCATCAAAGTACGTCATTTACAACGTATCTCTAGATAGTATTATGTCCCTAATTTTTTAATTCTCATCCTATCTGACGATATATGATTTACTATGGAATGAAATTGTAGGAAAAAAATAATGAAAAGGATCTCCATCAATGGGGTAGTTGGTGTATGAAATCGGTCCAACTAGAATTGTAAGAACGGGTGGCTAGTATGATAGTTGGGCATATTCTCTTGACTTTGAAGTCTTCAAAGTCATTGCTCTTGTCGCTGTTGGTTACGCAAAATTCAATAATTGTGAGTCTCACATAGATATTTATTCTTCCCTTAGATGTAAGTAACTCTTTAATTTCTTACGCTGACTAAGACTTCGGAGTTGGATTTTTCTCCAACTTTATGTGACTTAAAATTATCAAGAATTATGAAAGATATTTGGCTGTCCATAGCAAAAGAGAATCTTCCTTCTTCTATGGCGGGGTGGTTGCAGAAAAATTATTAACATAATAGTCGGATTACGTGAGCATTCAGAAAATATTCAAACGTTAGTGCTCGTGGTAACAATAACTAATTAAAAAATAATATATATTTGTTACTTCCAACCATTAAATTAGAAAGAGATTAGTCAATGTGTATATAAATGGACCCTAATATCCTAACTGTTGAACAAAAAAAACAATAAATTGGTTGAACCCCACGAATTACAAACATGTCTAATTATAATACTTGGTAAAACAAGAAAGTATAGACTGTTACGATATTTTGGAGGTAGTGTTATTGCCTTTTGAGTGCACTTATACAATTTTAAGGTAAATGTATCAACTTCCCGGGATAACTTATCAACTTTTAGAGTAATGTTACAATTTTTTGGGATGTACTTAAGTTTATACTTTTTAAATGTGTCCTTTTTTTTGGGTATGGTACAAAAAAAATAGAATGTGAGTACCATAATACAACCTCGATTACAATACAACTAAGGGTAATTCGTGCTTGAAAGCAGGATACAACTTAAGTGAGAAAAAATGAATTTGGAGGGGGCAAAAAATTTAATATGAATAGTTTTGATTGGTGGCGGTTGAATAAGTATATTTAAGACGATCAAATAAACTTATTAAAAATTGTCATGTTTTATATTATAAAGAGTAATGTTATGTAACCCAAATCTGCAATTCAAATTTGTATCTCAAATGAAGGGGGGCCATTAGATCAGTGGGTCTCATTTGAAATACAAATTTAGGTTGAAAACTTAGATTACGTAATATTTCCTTATTATAAATGCTATGCCCTTGATCCCAACAAGACTCATTGGGTGCGTTCAAACTAATTGTAACATGCATATCATTTAACTTTCCCCTGCATGTTTATGAAAGGCAATGAACTCGACCATTGACACTGCTTAGAAGTCAAGACACCCTTTCTTAGCCTTTTAGAGTTTAGAGAGAGTTTCTTAGTTCTAGATGCCTCTTACCATCTGGAATACAAAATGGCTAGTGAGCCACCGGCACAAGAATGAATCAAAAGATTTTTATTCTCATTCTTATGTGAAATTTTTTTGGGCCCCCCAAGTAATTGCCATTTATGTAATGAAGGATTCGGAATCTCCATTGTCAGGTGTGCAATTCTATTTGAGTAATGACTAAATTATTTACTAAATTTTTATATTTACCAAATTTTTATATTTCAAATCAATATAGGTTATTAGATCAGTTAGGTCCATTAACTCTATCAAATATTCAGTGCATAAAATTTTAACACATCATTTAGAATATAAGATTTGATAAACAAATTTGGGCAACACAATTTTTTCTAATTCAATTTAGACTTAATTTACTGATCTAATCACTTTCTATTATTAGATTGATCGTAATCCTACCTAGTGGTTTGGATCTGTTTGCAATTCATTGGGTATGATGCATTAGATTTGCAAATAAGATCAACAAATTAAATTCAAATAAAATTTTTCTTGTCAGATTCATTGTCTTTCATGATCAAAATAGATGGAAAGGGGTCTTAAAAAATAAATAAGTCAATTCCAGAATTAATTCTTGAGTAGATTCAAAATTGACATTTCAATTTCACTTACTAAAAAGTGAGGGTGAAGATCCTCGACGATATTACCGATGATTTGTGCCCCCAAAACAGCATCCTTCTATGATTAAAGTGACGTTGTTTTGGAGAATACCTCTACGAATAAGAAAAGAACTTTATCAGAGAGTGGGATCTTCTTCAATGTTCTTTCACTTGATTTCGTTTGAGGGTTAGATCACTTTTTATGGATTTAGGTAGGAACTATTATTTTTAAGTATATTCTCCATCAATACATAGTGTATCATCTACCTTTGAGTGAAATTACAAAAAAAAAAAAAGGAAAAACAAGAAAAAGAGATCTCTAAATCCTAAACAAAATGGTTTTGTTAGCAATATATAAGGATTTAATTTGGAAATTTAATCAAGAATCTAATTCAATTCAGTCACTGAATTAGTTGTAAGTTTGGATGTTAGATGAAATTCACTTTCAATTTATCTATTATAATTAATTAGTTTCCTAAATTAGGTCTGTCTAATATTTTTTATTGTTGTTTGTTTGGTTTTTTTTGAGGTTGGAAAGAAGGAGGGGAGGGGGGGGGGGTTTGGTTCAAAAACTCAATTTCTTTTCCCAAATAGGGCTTCATTGCTTAATGCAGATTAGGCCCATTTAAGTGCAAAAGAGGCTACAATGTTTTTCAATTGTAGATCTCATTCAATAAATCGAAAGAATATTTATAAGAGGGCATATACTCTATCACTAATCCATTCACTAATAATTTTTTAATAATATTATATAACAAATATATTAAAAATTAAGCAGTAACAGGATAAAAAAATGAGATAAAATTTGGGTTAAATTTGATGAAAAGTGGGGTGTATGTGGGTATGTTCACTATGTGTTAGTGTTTCAAAGAGGTAACAAAAAGGGTGGAAGAGAGAAAATTTTATTAAATTTATGATTTGGGGGGCAAAATTGTCATTGTGAGTCATGGTCGAATTTTCCGCTAAAACAATAATGTTATTTAAGAGTTACGTTATACAAACTAAAAAATCTCCTTCTTTTTCTTAATAATAATGTTTTGTCCACCAAAATGTTAGCAAATTTCAAATACTAAATGCTATGATATATAGCTTAATATAACTTGGATTTAAAAAAAAAAAGAATATAGCACTTGTATGATTAGTGAAAATTAACAAAACTTAATGAATCAAATCATTTACATTTATTCTCTATAAAAAAAATTGGTAGGGAAATTCATCGTATTGATTCTTATCTCTTTCTGTCATGTGATTTGTTAGTTTTTTTTTACTATTTAATAAAAATAAATAAATAGGACATTTTAACCTGCAAATCACGTGTCAGCTTTTCAAGTTATGCGATAATATTATGCCTTGATCTAAGAATCTAACATATCGTTTCAATGGTTACTTCTTAAACGGTGAGGTCTTCTTCATACGTCGAAGCTTTTGCTTCATTTAATCAATATTATTGGTAACTCGTATAGTTCAAATTCTTTAGTTCTATCCATGAATTATCCAGTAATAGATCTTTCACAATCATATTTACCTATATATACAGTTATAGTATTTAATTGTGAAGGTTAGTTGGATAGCTGACCCTGTTAATTCGTTCTTGGAGAGAAGAGAGGGCCTAATCTTGTAATTAATAGAAGTCTAATTAGAAAAAAATGTCTCTATCTATGAAGCACTGATACGAATATTGGATACGAATACGATACGATACGGATACGACAATACGATAAAGTCTAAAAAAGTAAGATACGAGTATGATCAAAATATGAATATAATAAAATATATTTAATATTTTTATTATTTTCAACCAATTTAATACTTATATATTTTGATAGTTATTGAACATATAATAAAAAAATTAGTAATTCTTTTTAGTTTTATGAAAATATATATCATGTCGTTGTGGTATATTCACAAAGTGAAGTAACTAATTAAAAGAATCAAAACTAATATTTACCTAGTATTTAGAAATAATTTTTGTTAAAATTATAATGTAATAACTTTATTTTATACTCTTTTGACATGTAATTGTATATTATAATTACAAAATACTCATGTGCCTTTAAAGTAATATGTATTTTTTGTTAATATATTGTATGGTATGTGAATTCGAAAAAGGATGTTAAAAGTTCAACTAAAAAATTATATCTTACTCAACTACAAAAATATCCGTGAAATATTATAATATTTAATCATTATCAGATACGTAAAAGATGTATCTAATAAGTATTTTCGAATATCCGACGAGTATCGTATTTGATACGATATCTCATACGGGTACGTCAACTTCAACGAAATATCCGTGCTTCATAGGTCTCTATTACTTTGAAAAGAAAATCTTGATTTGACGAATGAAAAATTGATTACGTGAGCATCCAGAAAATATTCGAACTTTAATGTTTGCCGTATCACTAACCAATTAAAAAATAACATGTAAACTAAATGGATCCTACCATTTTAATAATTACTTATGACCACCAAATCAAATAATTTTCGTAGGAAAATAGTGAGTTTACTTATTTTTGTATGATATTTTGTTATCAAACAATTATGTCATGTATTTGTGATAACTCGGTGTCACTATTACACCGAATATATAGTCCATGAGCATCATGGTCTATTTTTTTTTTTTTTTTTTGTGGAACAAAAAAAGAATTTAAGGGGACAATTGGGATGTAATTTTAATTTGGAGCATCCCAAATTCATGAGAATCTCATCAGTAGGGCTTAGATGACAGAAGACCACAAACATTCCCAAAGACGTAAAACCGATTTGAGTCATAATCTAGCCCCACTTCATATAACTATTAGTAGGATTAGTGTGAACTTCTATGTATAGTTCAAATGACAATAGAAATGAATTATAAATTAAAATGTCTTGAGTTTGAACTTTAGTAATTATTTAGTGTTAGGTCACAAGATATTTATTTTTCATGAATATTCTAGTTATAGTGTAAATTATCTGTTTTTGATCGGATCGAGAATATGATTAATCGATAACCACGTAAGCTGGTTCGAAAACTCTTGATTGTTAAAAAAAGAAAAAAATTGAGGAATTTGGAAGCTTGTCCCTAAGCTCAATAGAATTCCAAGAAAAATTCACTAGTCAATTTTCTTTTAAATTAAGTTTTTGTTGAAAAGTCAAAATAATTGACATAACTAATATTCTTTACAATTGCAAAAATAACGGCAATATCATCACTTAATTTGAACACATATTATAAAAAGTTATGTTATCATAATATATATTTTTCACCATAAACACTCGTAAGACAGGTACGCTAAAAAAAAAGCAAGTACGCAATTATATATATAGGTTTAAATAAAAAATACACTAAAACATAATAGATACGTAATAAAAAATTTATATAATAAATTAACTTACAATTCAAATCTCAAAAAATAAACAAAATGATTTTTATTATTCGAGGTTGAGATAACTTTAAATTTTATTTTAAAGTTAATCTAATGACTAATATTAACACCCTAAATTTAATATGAGAAATAGACTCATAAGGTTGTGTTTAGAGTGACTTTTTAAAAATAATTTTAGAAAGTATTTCTCACAAATACTTTAAAAAAAAATAGTGTTTAAAACCGTCCCACCACTACATCGACCACCATCACTACCATCGTTGCTACCACCACTACCACCATCGCCGCCACTGTCGTCGTCGCCACAACTGTCGCCATCACCACCATCCTCATCACTGTCGCCACTACTATCACCCCCACCACTACCACCACCACCGTTTCCACCACCCCCATTGCCTCCACCACTGCTGTCGCCACCGCCACCACCCTCATCGCCTCCATTACTGTCATTGTCACTCACTATAACCATCATCGTCTCCTACCAGCACTGTTGTCGCCCATCCTCTCACCCCCATTACACACCGATGCTTAAATTATTTTATCTTTTCTCTATGTTTATGATTTAATTTTGGATATAAATATAAATATGTTTATTGTTTACTATGTTTTATTATTTTGTGCCTTCAGAGACAGACAATAACTAGTATAAAAAATAACATGTACGCAATAATCGTCAGACAAATACACTAAAACACAAAACGTTAGATAGACACACTAAAACACAGATCGTTAGACAGGTACACTAAAACACAGATCGTTAATGTATCTTTTTTTCTATAAACATAGTTCGTCAGACATGTGCATTAAAACACTGATTATCATAGAGGTGCACTAAAACATATCGTTAATTTATCTTCTTCTCTATAAACATAAATTATCATAAAGGTACACTAAAACAGATCGTTAGACAGGTACACTAAAATACAGATCGTTAACGTATATTCTTCTCCATAAACATAGATCGTCAAATGTCATCATAATATCCAAATTATTTGGTTCACGAGTTTGAATTTCAAAACGTACAAAAAAAAATTATATTTTAAGTTGAAATTATGTGGTAAGAAAAAAATGAGTAATAAAAACAGTAACTAAATCTGTTAATTTCCGTGCTAAGGATCACTAGAAAAATTTTTCAAAAATTGAAAAACTTTTTTTTATACTAAAATTTTATATGACTAAAATTAATTTACATGCCAAAAGAGTGACGTAACCTAATAATAATAATAATAATAAAAAAAAAAAGTAGGATTAGTAGGAACATCGGGTCATGGTAGCCGTCCAATTGGTCAGGCTGACCTGGCGTTCCGTTTCATGTGAAAGGTCGAAAAGAAATTAATACATAGACACGTTCCCGAAATATAGCAAATTGCCTAGTTGACGACGGTTCAATTCCAATTGGACCAAATCGTGGACGTCACGCGACTTTTCAAAAACTTGGCCCCCAAGAAAAATCCAACTTGACCTTTTCCTTTAAATAATGTCTTAGCGTCTAGAGAATATACCCCATTCAATTCCACAAATACCCCCCATTCCATTTTGGCTTGATTTTTTTTTCGCTACACAAGACGAGAAGAAGCCTGACCCCTTTTTTTATATATATATATATTTTAAGACAGAAAGATTGTCATTGCTTTAAATTATACATAGTGTGTAAATTCAAAGTACTATAGAACAGAGAGGTCAAATTCAAACCCTTATGCAACTCTACATGGTATCAAAACCTATTTTTGATAAACGTCCAAAAATTTTAATACAGTTAGATTATCATTACTATAAATTATACATATGTGTATATTCAAAGTAATATAGGATAGAGAATTTAAATTCAAACCCTTTTGCAACTCTACATGATATAAGAACCATATTTTTGACAAACGTCTAAAAAGACTTCTCCTCCTCTTGTGTAGCAGACTCGGTCAAATTAGAAATATTTGCTTCAATACTCTTCATTTTCCCGTGAAAAAATATTGGGTATAATTGTTTTATTACCTCAACAGTATCAGGTAGTGTAATCGTCCATTAGTAATTAAATAAGTCAGCAAGTAAGCTCCATTAAAATTCATAATCACCCAACCATGTAATACATAATCACTTCTGTGATAAGAAATGAGTCCCATTTTATCCATTTTTTTATTAAATTATTAAACCCAATATTTACTCCCCCAATCGAATCAAGTTCTGAGCATGACTTGCTAATTCAACATAAAATTGGCACAAAATTAAAAAATTTGGATGATAATTGGTGAATCTATTTGACTAATTGGTAAAATAAGTTCACATGAATTTGATTAAATATAACATATATGAAGAACCTACTAAACATAACTTATATACAATTAATACATGATACGTATCTAACTTTAAGTACATATCACTCAACACAATATAATTTTAGATACGATACAAACTTGATAAGACACAATAGGTTCACAACCCTAATTATTATGACAAAATAATAAAAATAAATAATTTTCGTTTACATAAACGATAAGAACTTGAATACTAAATTAGAGATTGCACACAAATGGGCATTTTGAAAAAAAAAAAAAAAAAACCTTTAGCTATTTAGCAGACCCAAACAAACTTCAGCTGATCATGGATAACCCCCGGCTGGGCTTGATGGATCAAACATTTAGCTCAAGGACTTTTTTGTAATCTCATTATTCGCTAGAGTACACTGGACGTTAGAAATGGTCCATAAAAACCTCCCCCTTCAAAAATAAAGAAAAATACAAATCAACCCCCGAAGTTTGAAAAATTAGCGGCCAACCGCTTCAAACACACACACACACACACGTCATCAGATTCCACCGCCTTGAAATATAAACCCCACCGTCTTAAACCTCTTCTCCACACAAGAAGCCTTCTTCCGTAAACTCCAATTCCAAACTTCTTGCGTTTCTTAAACTTCTCTGACATTTTTCTTCTTCTTTGTCTGGTCTGATCGAGCGAGGAACAATGATGATGAGCCGTGGTGCAACCAGGGCGGCCCGGTCGGTGATGGGTCACGTGGGACCACGTTTCTTCTCCACCGCTACCGTTCGTGGCGGAGCAGCCAATGGGTCAGCCACCGGAGTTGTTGGTGCTTCAGGTTTGTTGGGTGTGAATCCATTCATGGGTTCGGAGAGGACAACGGTGGCGTGGATTAGATTTCCAGTAATGGGTGTGCGAAAAGAGAGTACCGTAGCTTTGGGTGACAAGGACGAGCATCCGGAGAAACAAGCGCAGACTGGTGGTGCTAGTGGTGCTGCCGGTGGTGGTGGGGATGATAAGGCCATTGTCAGTTACTGGGGGGTTGAGCCGGCGAAGGTTACTAAAGAGGATGGTACTGAATGGAGGTGGCACTGCTTTAGGGTACGTACATTTTAATAGATGTCCCGTGAATAACATTTCTTCGAAACTTTTGAGTTTTGGTTAGATCTAATTTGTTTCCATCTTAATGTTTAAGTTCGAATCCTATCAAATTTTGCAGATCATTGCGTGTTGTTTTTAATCATGGGTGAAAAGAAAAACATTTTCATCAATATTAGATATCTGGAATTGTATTTATAGTTTGATTGTTCTTCATGGAGATTGATTTTGGGTTTTCTTTGGAAGCCATGGGAGACTTACCAGGCTGATCTTTCGATAGATCTGAAGAAACATCATGCCCCTGTGACTTTCTTGGACAAAGTAGCTTATTGGACTGTCAAGTCTCTGAGATACCCTACAGATGTATTTTTTCAGGTACAAATAATTTTTTGTCATTTAATCTTCTGATTTTTTACTGGTTTAATGGCCCTTAACTAATTTTTTTTGTTTTTTTTTTCCCTAATTAGGAATAAATCATCATTTATTGGACCTGTTTGCTGTAATATTTAGAAAACATTTTCTATTCTGGAAAATTGCACGATTTGCAGTTGAATCCTTTTCATTTCGGTTATCATTTGCTCAAGTTTTAAAAATGAAAATGACAAGCTGGCCCTTAAGATTATTCACTTTTGATTTGGATCATCTCAATTTTGTTGGAGATGAGTCCTCTATTGTTAAAGTTATTGATCCCCACTAACGAATTTCTATGAATCGTGTCGTCTTGTGGGACTTGATGAATATAACCTTTGATTATTGAATTTGATCAAAATTAAAATATGGATCTATTTTCGTGATCATGATGGCGCTCAATATTTTTTTAAGTTCCCTTAAAAAGGTGCATGAATGTTTTTGTGGCCTGATTCAATTATTTTGAAATTGTGTTTCAAAACGCCCATGGAGAGTATAAAATGCTTTGCTGAATTTTTATTTTGCTCTTAATTGGCAAATAGTAGGCTATAAGGATTTTAAATGCCGAAATGCCTACCATTTGGTCTTGTATTTTTCTTAGTGTACAATGGATCTAGCATAGAGGAAAAGTGGAATGGGCAGCCGATGAGACTTGTGGATGAGTGGCTTCTTAAGTATTTGAACAAATCCACTTAGCTGCTTAGATATTGTAATTAAAATTTGCACATAAATAGCAACAAAATAAAAGAAAAAGATTGTAGTAAGGAATGGTTGTGCCTAATGGGATTGCTTTAAATGGTTCAAGATTTTGTTTTGTTTTGTTTTGATTTTATTGTGGATTGGAAATTGAAGATTTCCATTATTTCTCATTTTTCAATGTTATTAGAGGTCAAGGATTAAAAGGAAAATGAGTTTTTGAGACATAATGTTGGCTGTAGGCGACCTTATATGAGCTGTTAATTGCTAAGATGGGATTGCATATCTGGAAATGGTCGATGGTGAATGTCTTTTTGCTTTTTAATGCAGTCAAGTAATCCAAGTTTTCTAAACTTGTAAGAATATGTCCATGCACTCAGTAATCCAAGTTTTCTAATATTGTTAAAATAAGTCCCTGCACTCACTTTTTTTTCGAAAAATATTCTTGTTCTGTCACAGAGGCGATATGGGTGTCGTGCAATGATGTTAGAAACTGTGGCCGCTGTCCCTGGCATGGTTGGAGGGATGTTGCTACACTTCCAGTCACTGAGGCGGTTTGAACACAGTGGTGGTTGGATCAAAACCCTGTTGGAAGAAGCTGAAAATGAAAGGATGCACCTCATGACCTTTATGGAGGTGTCCAAGCCAAGATGGTATGAGCGTGCCCTCGTGGTTGCAGTCCAAGGCATTTTCTTCAATGCATACTTCCTTGCCTATCTGGCTTCACCAAAACTGGCTCACCGTGTTGTTGGTTACTTGGAAGAAGAGGCCATTCACTCCTACACTGAGTTCCTCAAGGAATTGGACAAGGGTACTATTGAAAATGTCCCCGCTCCGGCAATAGCCATTGATTACTGGCGTATGCCACCTGACTCCACCCTCCGCGATGTTGTCATGGTTGTGAGAGCAGATGAGGCCCACCACCGCGATGTCAACCACTTTGCGTCGGTGAGACCTTCAGATCTGATTTGCAATTCTTGATATTGGGTTCAATTTGTTGTAATGTAACTTGGGTGATCTTCTTTAGGTACTTACCTCTTTACTGAAATGAATTGCAGGACATTCACTATCAAGGACATGAGTTGAAAAGCTCTCCAGCTCCACTTGGATATCACTGAACGAACAGAGAAATCTGCCTAATAAATTAGATAGTGAGTGTGGTACTGTCAAATAAAGTATCTTTGAACCTCTAATGATATGAATGATTGGAATGAGATTTACTTATGGAGTAGTATGCATGTATGTAATCGAGTCAGCTGTGGTTATGTATTTAAGTTTATTAATTAAAGCTATCAGTATTCTCTGTTCTTTCTTTTCTTTTTCTTTTTTTGATGTTTTTCTTTTTAGTGAGATTTTCATGGGATTGATATTTTGTTTCTTATACATGTGTTTAAATGGCAGGGTGATCACCTGCTCCTTTTATTCATGAAAATTTATCTATGAAGGCTCCCTCTATTTCGAAGGAAAACAAAATCCTGACTAAAGATAATGATGTGAGTACAAGGAGGGGAATTGTCAAACGAACTATTTCCTAAAGCAGCCTCCAGCAAATGATATTAGAAGGAAGCTGCTTTCAGAAAACAAAAGCTACAAGAGTTTTGTGTAAATAAGATGAAAGTTACATGAGTGTTTTGTAATTATCATCTGGATGTAGTTTTCCAACTTGTGATTTGTGAAGCGTTCACTGGATTATTATACTTCTTTTAAGAAAATCTAAATTTATAAGGTTCTCTGCAATGACAGTGCTGGGACTAGTACGCATGCGACAATGTCGGATTGATGCACAAACTGCAGAGCAATGTAATACAGGTTTTTGCAAATAATCGGAGAAAATTGGCATTACGTGCTCTGGGGTGTATTTTGAAATTTGTGGGAGGTCATGGCCCAAGAATTCAAAGAACTGCTCAACCTCTCAATGGAATGGCATTATATAACCTGTTGTGCCGCAAAAGAGTTTTTACGCCCCCAACGCATGCAGCCATGTTCGCCCCATAATCACGTTGTAGGGAGAGTCCGTATCGATCACAACAAACTCGGTGTCGATGACAAAGGGACCTGTGACAACTGGCAATGTGATTTTTCCCACGGGCAGGGCGAACGAGCCGTTGAATCCGATGAGGGGCGTCCTGACTTTGGTGAGGTCTTTGAGGCAAAACCCATCCGTTTTAAAGTTTCGGAGTACATCACCTCCGAGGAACTTCCAGAGTCTATCAAAATCCTCTTGACGTCGAATTTTCCTATCCTCAGGGTCAAGACAAGGGCGTCGTTATGAGGAGTCACTACGCCTGTCAAATCCGCGTCGGAGAATGTAATGCCAAGCTCACCCGTCCTGGCCCTTTTACTTGGTGGCCCTACATCAACCTCGGCTACCTTTCTCGTAAAAGCTACCCGTTTGAGGTCGAACTCGAGTTCCTTGGACGTGGGGCGATCCAGGGGACATATATGGATGACATCTATGATGTTGTCCGGCTTCTCGGTCGGGGCAAGGGCTCGTCTCTCTTCTGGCCTGGGCTCTATGTACTCTTTCAAATATCCGTCTCGGACCAAGCTTTCCAAGAACGATTTGAACACCCTGCAGCTTTCGGTGCGATGCCCGAAATCCCGGTGATAGGAACACCTAACCTTTTGATCACCGGTGGAGGGGTCGCTCTGCATCCTGGGCGGCCATTTGAAGAACGGCTCGTGCTTGATTTTATGGAACAACTTGAAGATGGGTTCCTTGAACACGGTGTGAATTCCTTTAGACGGACCCCTTGGAGGGGGTAGCAGTCCCTTTCGGGGAATATCTTCCCGCTCCTTCTCTTTTCTCTTAGATTGGGGGGCTCGGCCTTTGCTGTTTCCCATCTCGTCCTTAATCCTCGAGTATTTGTTTATCCGGGCCATTAGTTCCCCCATATCCGAGGGGGTCTTCTTGGTCAGGGATCGGTACAGGTCCATGTCCCTTGCCAAGCCGAGCCGGAACGATGCTGCTGCCATGACCTCCGAGCAGCCTTCTACCTCATTAACCTCTTCCCAGTATCGGATGACGTACTGGCGAAGAGTCTCGGATTCCCTCCGTCTGAGGGTCAGCAATGATCCAATGTCTTTGGGGCGTTTACTCCCCGTAATGAATCGAGCCAGGAACTGCTTAGTCAATTCCTTCCAGGACCCAATACTGTTGGGGGGAAGCGCCTCGAACCACTTCATCGCAGAGTCCCCAAGCTCATAGGAAACACTCGGCAGATAAACCGTTAGTCCGAATGATAGAGGGACATCATCTACTTGTATTGTCTGACATGGGCTTCGGGATCGGACCGCCCGTCATAAGTTTTGAACCGCGGCACGACAAACTTTCTTGAAACCTCCATCTCACCGATCTCCCTCGTAAAGGGTGTTTGTATAACTTCGTCCTCGGCCTCATCCTGGACAGCCTTACCCTTTCTCCTGAGTCTAACCGGGCTCTGAGATCAATTTCTTCCCTGACGAGATGCCTCCTGAAGTCCTTGAGTTCATCGGTAAGCCCCTCATTTCCTGGGCGTCGTGTGGATTGGGTTGAGTCCTCCTCGGATTCATCTCCCTTCCTCCGTATAGACAAACCTCGCCGGAGGTCGTCCAGGGCCAATGGCCTGCTTTCCTTGAATGGTTGTCATGATGATGCTCGCCGGCTCTGGGTCGCTTTAGGGCCCTAGAGCTTTCTGCTTTGTTGTTTAGGTGGTTTCTTAGATCCTTTGTTTTCGCCTCCCGGGCGGGAAGCCCACGAGAAAGGAATGAATCCCTCGATCCTTCGCCAGAGGCGGCAAACTCGTTGAGCCGGCTTAGGACGTTTACATTGTCCTTTTCCAGTTGTCGTAATCTATCGCCAAACTTTTCTTCAATCACCTCCGCCAGCTGACGAGCCAAGGGGGCTGATCCCCCTGACCTGATTCTCATACTGGTTTGAGGGGTAACCCCTCTTGACCGAGTAGAGGCACTTTTATTCACATCGGTGTGATCCCTCCCTCTGTGATGACAGGGAGCTTATAACTCGAGACTCCTTTGGTGGGGGCCTTTCCCTTTCTGTCGAGTGTTCACCATGGTCACTGTTCTTTATAGAGAAAAAACTAGGAAAACTAGTCGTTTCCCACAGACGGCGCCAGATTGTGCGTGCAAGATCCTGCACAATATAAAAACGAGAACAGATCTCTCCCTTGGTGAACTCGAGTGAGCCAGTTGAGTGACCAACCACGCTGCTTGGAACAGCCTGCGAGGTCCGGTGGTAACCTGGAACGGCGACGGGAGACCCTGGGGGAGCGGAAGAACGATCCAGTAAGGCTGAAAGAGGTTCCTGGAACAAAGAAGAACAAGTTAGAAGGGCGCCGGAGTGTTTTCCGGCGTATCCCCTCCGACGATCTAGTCAGTCTTTGAGAAAGAGAGAGGAAGGAGAAAACACTGAGTGTGTATTGTAGTAAAGAGTTTTTTGTTGCATACCCGTCTTGCCTTTTGCAAGGAGTATTTATACCTCAAAAGCTCATGATCAGTGTAGTCAGTAGGTGATCATTAGGTACAGGCAGTGTGCGCACTGATTCTGATGAGGAATGTCTTCTCTTCTTAACTGCTCGGGGTCCCGAGCAATCAATGCTGGGTCATCGGGATGCCGACGGTACAATGTACTCCTCTCGGGGAGGATGCAATAAATGCTCTGTATTAGGAGCATTTATTGCCTTTCATTTCAGAGCCTTACCGCATTGAATGCGGTCTCATCAAGGGAATGGTGTAATTAATAGTTTGTTTTCCCAAGTCGCGTGTCAGCAACGGCATGCGGTTTCTCTGTCTTCGATGTGATATCATATGCCACGCGTCCATCCCTCATTGGCTGTGGCCCCTGCATTCCAGTACGTTCTGACACTAATTGTGTAAGACGAGGTCATGATGAATAGCCTAGGCTAATGACCTGTACGTCAATAGCTTATCCTGGAGTAGAGGAGACGTCCAGGACGGGTACACCTCGGCACCGAGGAGAGGCTCATCTCGGAACCGAGGGAGGGATACCGACCGAGGTACCATATCAGACCGAGGCCACGTGTCGGTTGTAAAACATACTGAATGCATGATCCTATATGACGAGTACCTCGGGGGCGAGGACCTTTGTGCGCCGATGGTGCTCGATCTTAGCAACAGTGTTTTGGTAATACCGAGGACACGTGTCTTCATCATGGAGCATTTCAGAAAAGTCTCATCAACTGCCCCCCAGCCTTCGATCTTCTGACACCGAGGGCACGCGTCGTAAGGAGACGAAGGGTTTCCCAACAACCACAACTACTTCATCATTGCCTCGAGCCGCTTTCCCCGGCTTGGGATGTTGTGTGCATTAAATGCGCCATTTCATTTTTCGCGCCCAATGATGAAATTGCCTCTATATAAATGGGGCTCCTCTTCCGTTTTCTTGTTTCGCCATTCCGAACTTCCTCAAGAGAGCTTTTTCTTGAATCTTCGCCGGAGATCTCTTTCTTCTTCATCGTCGACTGCCCATTCTTCCTTAAAGTCTTAAGGCCAGCAGACCCATCGTTGCTTCTGAACTTTCTGGAAGGAGTCGCTTTAAAGTTTTCCAGAAAAAACTCCGTTTGACATTCGGGTGAGTTCTAGTATCTTTCCTCTTTTCTTCCTCCTATCCCTTTTTGTTTTCCGATGACTGGAGGTGTCTCCGGTTGATACCTAATCCTCGGGAAGCTTCCTCAGGGATTTTTAAGGACAAAACACCCTCCACTTTCTCACTTTTTAGAGATGCCTCGTCGTCGCCCCGCTCCCGAGAATCCTCAGGCTGGTTCTTCGGGGTCGGGGAAGTATAAAGTAAAGGGCGGTGAGCAGATTAATAGGTTTAAGGTCAAGTACGGCATTCCCCCGTGCGTAGACATAGAGGATTATGACTCGATGGTGCACTTTCCTACCCTCGGGGCCGAGGATGCTATGCCGTTTTATACCAAGGCCATAATAGAGGGAGGAATTAGGTTTCTTTTACCCCCTTTACTTCTTCAGTTCCTCTCTCACTTCCGCCTCTTCCCCGGGCAGTGTTGCCTTAATGTCTTCAGAATCATTATGGGGGTCTTAGAGCTCAATAGGCGCCTCGGGGTAAATATCGGGCTGAACGATCTCCTTTTTTGTTATTCCCTCTTGAGAGTCATGCCTCACCAACACTTCTACCTCAAAGCCAGGGACCCCTCCATGTACCTTGTAACTCATCTTTCCGACTCGGACAAGGGGTACAAGGACGATATTCTTATTTTCAAGGGATCTTGGCAGAGAGGTTTTGGTCCCGAGTATAACGGCTTGTTATGCCCCCTGGAATGGAGAACGACAAGTACGTCGGTTCCTTCGGGTTTATTATTTTGTTCTCCAGACTTTCGATGCTCATGAATACTTTTTTGTTTGTGCAGATATCTCTGCTCGGGAAACAGCTCCTCCCCCTCGGTCGCTGGTGAACTTTGCCGACCTAGTCACGGTTTGGAGATTTACTGGTGACAACGGGTTCGGCCGGGCTGCCCACATCCTGCTGAATTACACCCCCGGGTATAAGAAATTTTCACAGCTTCCTCAGCCTTTTGAGCCTTCGCGGTGGTCTGAACTCTTCGATCAGGCGGCGAGGCAGGAGGTCGAGGAAAACTTGGAGGAAGACCCTGATCGGGCTTCGGAGGCAGAGGTAGAGGGAGTTGTTGAAGAGCTCGGGGTCAGAGAGGACGTTGTTCCTTCGGACGCCGAGGTGGGGACTTCGGGAGGAGACTTGTGGCCAGACTTCCAAGTCCTAAA